GACTTTGCAGGATGTATAAATACCATAAAATCTCTTTCTAAATATGTTTTCACTATGTTTGGTAAACTAATCAATTGCAAAGCTTCATTTTATAAGGTTGTAGCCTTATCAACCACTCAAGTTAAATACACTGCCCTTACTAAAGCTATGAATGAAGCATTTTTTACTTAAAGGGTTTACTAAGGAGCTGAAACTTCTAGATCAAGCTATCACTATTAAATGTGATAGTCAAAGTGCCATGCATTTGTCGAAAACATCAACCTATCATGAAAGAACCAATCACATTGATGTTAAATTGCATTTCGTCAGAGAGAAAATCGAGAAAGGAGAAGTGAAACTGATGAAGGTTTTGACTGAAGATAATTTTGCTGATTGGATCACCAAGTCATTGCCTAATAGCAAGTTCTTTCATTATATGCACTTGATAAAGCTGCATGGTGATAGCTAGCTTGTTACCTTGATGTTGTAAAGTTTGTTTCAAGGTAGAGATTTGTGGTATTTTGGATCAAACTCTAGTCTTGATATGGTAGCCTCTTAGTTCGGCTGGGTTGTGGCCTGTTGTAGTCGAAGTCTGATCTAGCATGCAGTAGACGAAGAGAGGCATGCTATAGTCGAAGTATGATCTTGCATGCAATGACTTATGTTAGTTGTGTACTTTATTATGTAATAGTTATACATGTCATGTATGAGTGTTATCATCATACATGACATACATATACTAGGAGTCTATATATAGGTTGTACTATAGTTTGTTATAGTAAGATGTTAAGTTGTTATTCACTTGTAATCTGTAAACCCTAATTGAGAAAATGAATAGAAAAATTGTATTAACCATCCATATTTCTCTATCTTCTTCTTTATTTTCTTTTTTTTTTCTTCTTCTCTCTCTCTCTCTCTCTCTCTCTCTCTCTCTCTCTCTCTCTCTCTCTCTCTCTCTCTCTCTCTCTCTCTCTCTCTCTCTCTCTCTCTCTCTCTCTCTCTCTCTGTGTGTGTGTGTGTGTGTAACTGAATCATTTTCTTCTGTTTGTTCAAGAAAACCTTTCTTTCTCACAATATTGCTTTGTTTATGGTGCGATGATTGTCACACACACACACACACACCCACACCCACGCCCACAATATGGGCCCTACTATCTCCCATTGCAATATACCACAACGTGAGGAGAAAAAATGTATGATTGTTTATTCTACTCACTATACCTCTTTTTTCATGGACAAACATGGGCATTGGAGTGCTAACCTTGTAGGTCTAGCCCATACAATCGCACCAGAATAACTTACACCACATCAAGATTCTGCCCCAATAATTTTAGTTCTCGAAGGAAACAAAAAAATTTGTGTGTAAATAATTATATAATTTGTTTTTTCAAACAAAAGAAAAACTATAGAATTTGACTAGTTCCTCTAAAAGAAAAATAAAAATAATACATATGTTAGAAATATCGGTAAAATCGAATGGATCTAGGACTGAATCGTAAATAAAATCACTTTTCTTAAAATTATTTCAAGCACTCTCAAATATGTCTTAGAGTTCGAACGTAGGAATACCCAGGATAATTCATCCTTATACTGAATTTGCGTAAGATCGATGAAAATTCGATTTGTAGCGAAGAAAGTTTGGAATTGGTTAAAGAGGATATTTAGTTTGTGATATGATTTTCTGAATTCAGGAATGATGTATTTATAAGCCATATATGTGTTGTTTCACAAGGTTGCAACCCTTGATGAAACAACACATTTAAACTAAAAGTTGCATTGTTTCCAAGCATTGTAATTTTTCATTTTGCAGCAACACTTCACGAGTGCTCCTTCTCTTCGAATTCAAACGTATACATCGACCAAAACAAGAGCAATAATAAAACGCCACCGGCGCCGCCTCATAATGCCCCGAGTAGCCCAAGTGCCGCCTACAAGCCGCCACTAGCGCCTCTACGCCCTCGGACCTGGTCCTGGAGCCGGTGGCGACACCGACGATAAGTTGTACGGAGGAGACAAGTAACATAATGCTTGAGACCATCACATTTGTCCATGTGACACTTTATCCACTTTTGTTCTTTTGTTGAGTTAATACTCATAACACTTAATAAAAACTTTTAAAGTGAGTGAAACTTTCTATATGAGACTATTTCACTATCATTTATTGGAATTTATTCATTTTTCATTTTATTTTGTCATTTTGAAACACATCCATAGATATTTATTGTTCATAAATTACAACAATATATATATATATATATATATATATATATATATATATATATATATATATATATATATATATATATATATATATATATATATATATATATATATATATATATATATATATATATATATATATAAAGGAAAAATACTCTTTTTGGTCCCTTAATTATACTCTTGGACTCAATTTTAAATTTTTTCGTTTTGGTTTCTTAACTCTTTAAAACGTTTCATGTTAATCCTTTTCGTCTAATTAGCAACAGAAAAATTCAAAAATCAGTCGCTAAATTTGTTGCTAATTAGATAAAAAGGAGTAACATGATACGTTTAGAGAGTGAACAAACCAATCTTACATAAAACAAAATTAAGAGACAATATGAACTCAAAAGTATATTTAAGAGTATATATATATATATATATATATATATATATATATATATATATATATATATATATATATATATATATATATATATATATATATATATATATATATATATATATATATATATATATATATATATATATATTATAATAACTTATTTAAAATAGACCGTAAATAATTTAAAAACCGCTAAAGTGAAAATAAATTGCACCTTGTTGATAGTTAAAAATGGATGGAGGTGGTATACCATATAGAACTTTAAAAGGAGATATTTTGATTGAAAAATGATGAGATGTGTTATGCCAATATTCTATCAATGGTAAGAATTTTATTATTGACTCGGATGATCATTTGTAAAATATTTGAGATGTGTTATTGTCATTTGATAATAACCATAATTTTTATATTATTTTTTGTCATTTGATAACAACTATAATTTTTCTTTTATTTTTTTTTACGTTATGTATTTCACATCTTGTTATTCGTTATTGTGATTTGATAACAACCATAATTTTTCTTTTATTTTTTTCACGTTATATTTTATATGTTATGTATTTATATTGTGATTGTATTTTTTTTATATGACTATATTTCTCTAAGTCCATTCTAATCCAAATTTTAAGATGAGGAGTAATATATTTGTCTCATAAAAATTGTGTCATTTAAGTTGTGCATGGTTTAAAAAAACTGATTAATTGCCATAATTTTAATTATTGAATGATCATTATTTAGTGTTTTAGAAAAATGATTATTTAGTAGGAAAAAAAACAAGAAATATTTATATTAATATTTTAAAAATTAGAAAGAGTTGTGTTGGTAGTAGCATTGTTTTGTTGTAATTGTAATGAACGGGTCTACCTTAACGGAGCATGAAGCAAGTACAGTCGGGCGTGGTGAAGAGCTGAAGGAGTCAGACGAGTGGCAACTGAACTGCCAAGGAAATCTGTCCTTTCCTGTCTCTTTTTCTTTTGACTGCCTTTCCAATCACAACAACATTTCATATTTGCATCGCATATATGTAAGCCAAATTCAAATCCAACGGTTCATCACTTGTGTGATCAAATTGAAAAGCATTCTCACCGTAGGATTGGAATAAGTTAAGCAATGTAAAACGAAACTTGGCATATGTTGGTGTTGGGAGAGGCAACGCAAAACTCCAAGGTCAAGGTCAGAACTCAAATGCTCAGTGTTTATTTTCCCAACATATATGACATATCGTACATAAAAACCTGTGCCATCACTCTCTTCCTATCCCTCTCTCTCCTTTGGCTGCTTATGCCTCTTTTTTGTAAATTTGCTTTGACCAAACGGAGCCAAGATTACAATCCTTGATACCTTTCGCCGCTCTTTCTTTTCCCTTTTATATTACTCTCTATTTCATTAATTATAAATTTTACCTTTCTCCTTGAGAGTAACATCAACTGTTTTCAACTATTTTTTTCATAAAAATTAAAATTTTATTTATTAAAATATTTATATTAATTATAGTTAGTGGACCAACAGATATTTTTTTCTGCCTTTCCACACTTATAGTAGTAATCTGTAATTATGATGTTAAACTAAACACGAATTGTTATTAGCAATATAAGTAGAGCATGTGAAGTTGCACACTTTCTAATTCAAACAAAGAACAACAAACACAAACTTGCTTTCAACTAATCTAACGCCATATTCCATCTCTTCAAAACATAAGCGGATCCTTTTGCTTCTTTTCAGGTATTCCTCCTTTCTCTCTCGCATTCCCAATCTCAATCTCAATCGTTTTCTGTTTCTTTCTTATTTACGCAGTTTTTTTTCTGCTCACAAGATCTCTGCATTTGGTGTTGCATATCTAGATCGAGATACAAACACTGTTTCCTTTTATTTCTGTGATTTTCTACATTCCAATTTTTTGTACTCTTTCTTTATTATTATATCCTCTTTCTTGTGTAAAACTTTCACAGCTTCATTCTGTACTTTGCATGTTCCTGCTTTTTATTGTACTTTACTTTCAAAGCTTTGAATTATTAGTTTGCTCTAAATAAAACAAAAAAGGAATGTTTTTTTTTCTTCTTCAGATTATCATTAATGTATTACAATATTAGTTATCCAGAAATTTTTTATAATTTAAATATAAATCATGCTTGAGGTGGAGTTGCTTGTACTGGTTTAGGGTTTAGGCTAAAGATTCTACAATATGTAAAATTCAGGATTTCTTTGAAACTAGCATCTTAATCTTGAATTTCAGATCTAATTTGGAAATTAATTTGACTAATTTCAATGCAGATTGTGGTTTATTCAGTGGAATTCAAATCTCGTGTTTAGGTATGGTATTGAAAGTTGCTAGAATTATCTCAGCTTATGATTTGGTTTAAGATATGCGCTTCTTTGAGGGGGAACATGTTTGACTAGTGTATCTTTTGTAACAGAAACTATGGGCTTAGTCTGCAGCAGAAGTCGGCGTTATCGGGATTCTGATCCTGAAGAAAATGCACAGGTTTGTTATGTTGGATAAATTGTACTATTGTTGTTGTTAGGTTCAAGAAATCATATACTTTTAAATAGGTTTTAACTTGATTAATGTGGTGTGGATTTACAGGCAGCAGAAATTGAGAGAAGAATAGAGTCAGAAACAAAGGCGGAAAAACATATTCAGAAACTTCTACTACTAGGTTTGTTTTCCCTTTTTACCTTAGTTGTATATACTTTGCTTATAGTTTTTTCTTAATTAAAGCTCATCAATTTTGAGAATCTAGTAGTAGCTTTTGAAATTTTACAAAGCATGAGTGATTTTTCTGTGTTTGGAGGAATCTTATATTTACATACATACCACAATTTCTTAATAGTCTATTTTTCTTCTTCTTATACTTGTGTAAATCGGTGTCAATGTCTCTGTTGTTTAGGTGCGGGAGAGTCGGGGAAATCTACCATCTTTAAGCAGGCAAGAAGTTGCATTTTCCCCTATTTTATAGGTTAGCATGTGATTGCTAGATTAATGAACTTTATTTGACATGTTTACAATATGCAGATTAAACTTTTGTTTCAAACTGGCTTCGATGAGGCTGAGCTAAGAAGTTACACACCGGTCATTTTTGCTAATGTGTATCAGACTATAAAAGTACGCAATACCTGAAAGGGTGTGTTAATTTTTTTTCCTCTTACAAATAGATCGGTGTTCCGTGTTAATTTTCTGAAAAATATTTACATGAGTTGAGTAATAGTTATGGAACTAGTTGAAAAACTGTTATCCTTAGTTTTTACTTGACCTGTTTAAATAGGTTCTGCATGATGGGGCAAAGGAGTTGGCTCAAAACGATCTTAATTCTGCAAAGTATGTTATATCCGATGAGAGAAAGGTACTTCACTACTAAGCCTCCTTTATCTCTTACTATGGTTTGTTAATAATGGTTGAGTAGTTTATGTTCTTGCATGTCGTTACTGTGTTTTTGTGCTTAATCTGAAAGGATCTATCTCGCTTTGTCAAAGTTTTCTTAATTCATAAAGAGCTTAAATTTTTTGGCAGGAAATTGGTGAAAAACTTTCAGAAATTGGAGGCAGGATGGATTATCCACATCTTACCAAGGATCTTGCAAAGGAAATAGAGACTCTATGGGAGGATGCTGCCATTCAGGTGTCCGATTGCCTGTCGATTTCTTTACCTTGACCCCTGTATATAGTTGTATTTTTGAGATCAACTACTTAATAGGCATATCTTGTGCAAATATATTGCTGTAGGAAACATACGCCCGTGGTAATGAACTTCAAGTTCCTGATTGTACCAAATATTTCATGGAAAATTTGCAGAGGTTGTCTGATGCAAATTACGTTCCAACAAAGGTATTGAAAATCTATCACTCTTTTGTTTGCAAAAATAGAAATTTCTGCTGTTTTCATTAATGACCCTCAAATTTGAAGGTAATATAAAGTCACGAATCTCTCAATATTCTCACTTTATTTTACAAATACAGGAGGATGTTTTGTATGCAAGAGTTCGTACAACTGGTGTTGTGGAGATCCAGTTCAGGTGAACATGCAGAGATGACATGATTTTTTCTACTCAAATGATAAAATAATATGCTTATTACTGTCCCCATTCTGTTCTCTTGATACTGTATGAACAGATTCTATCGTAGCACTGGGTGCTTCTCATTGCATTTTATTAATCACAATATACAGAATGGTTAACTTGATTAATGTATTTTTATTATTTGGCAGCCCTGTTGGAGAAAATAAGAGAAGTGGTGAAGTCTATAGACTCTTTGATGTTGGTGGCCAGAGAAATGAGAGGAGAAAATGGATTCATCTTTTTGAAGGAGTTACAGCTGTTATATTCTGTGCTGCAATTAGCGAGTATGGCTTGCCATTTGATTTTACATCATAATGTGGTTAATAATGACAATGATAAAGTCTGTTTGGGAAATTTTATTTTCAAATAGTCTGTACTTCAAAAATATCCCAGTCATATTTTAAATATTTTAAAATGCTTGCCAATGGCTAAAACCATGTTCGATGTTAGTTGTGCTTTTAAAACATGTTAGTATGCATATTATTGGCAATTGGTATTTGGTATCATGTAAGATTTTATGTAGGCAAAACAATTCACCTAACAAGTGTTGCCAAAAGCATTGTACTTATGAGATTTGGAAAGCGTAAGTGTTGACTTTGATTTTCCTTCCAGATATGATCAAACACTTTTTGAGGATGAAAGCAAGAACAGAATGATGGAAACTAAGGAACTTTTTGAATGGATCCTGAAGCAACCATGTTTTGAGGTTTCCTTTTGTGCTTTTCTTAAATTCTAGCATCTACGTTACCTGGTACATTCTATTGTCAACTAAGGGTTTGTTTAGATTGACTTATTTGAGCTTATCGACTAATATAAACACTTGTGGGATTGTTTGGGAGAGCTTACGGAAGCAACTTATGACATGTCCATGAACCGTTTTCAACTTATTTCCATAACGTCTCAAGGGTAGCTTATGAAAACAACTTATAGTTTATGTGAAAACAGTTTGACTTTATTTTATTTTTTGTTATAGAATAGCTAGCATATACATAAACACTTATAAGATGAATGTTTAAGCTATAAGCGATTAATTAAGTTGTTTATCCAAACAGAGCCTAATTTTTTTTTAGTTTCCTCACACATATATATGACAATTATATAGAAAGCTTTATACTATTTTGGCATTTAACATTTGTTCCTTTCTTTTCTTGACAGAAAACATCCTTCATGTTATTTTTAAACAAGTTTGACATATTTGAGAAGAAGATCCTGAATGTAAGGAACCATCCATACATGTACACTTCGACATTGATGGGAGAATCAATTATCATTCATTTCATTCTATCGTCTTTGTGCAGGTTCCACTCAACGTATGTGAATGGTTCAAAGATTATCAGCCAGTTTCATCAGGGAAACAAGAGATTGAGCACGCATATGAGTAAGCGCTCATTTATAAAAGCATTACTTGTTGATTCTTTTCAAAATAAAATGCTGTGATTTGTTTTCATTTATCAAAAATTATTTCACTTTGGTAAACTATGCTTCTACAGGTTTGTGAAGAAAAAGTTTGAGGAATTGTACTTCCAGAGCTCTGCTCCTGACCGTGTAGATCGTGTCTTCAAGATCTATCGAACCACTGCCCTTGATCAGAAGGTTGTGAAGAAGACTTTCAAGCTTGTTGACGAGACGTTGAGGCGGAGGAATCTTTTTGAAGCGGGATTATTATGACCATGCAACATTGTGCATAAGATAAAAGGGATAAATTATTTTTACATTGAAGAGGTAATCAGATTTTGGGTATACTAGAGGCCAGGTATACAACAGTATATAATCAATTTATTGATTTATATCAAGTAAATGATGTTGAATGGGTGGATAGAGAAAGACCTTAATGAGTTCTTGATCACCGCAAATTAGTTGCGCTGAAATTTTCGGAGATGATATAATCTATGGTGCACATTTACAGATTGAAACTCACTAATTATATGTCATATTTTGTATCCAATGCTGGTCTTTAAGTAAGGTTCAAGTTTGAATCTTATGAATGGAAAGCATAGTCATTGAGAGCCAAGAAATGAGGTTTCACAGATGTAACTGTGTGTGTGTGTGTTTTTTTTTTTTTTTTTGCTTGTAGTTAATTTGAAGACTCTTATGTTAGGTTTGTACCTAGCTAATTGCTCTATCTTTTACGAGTTCATAAAATCTTTTGGACACTTGCACAAAGTTTCATTTATGCATTACATAATCTTTTGAACACTTGGCACAAAACTTAATCCGTTCTAGTCGAGGAAAGTAATACGTTATTAATAATTTACATACATTTGTCTGCAGAAATCTAATTTTCCTTTTCCGTGCGGATATACTGGTTTTTAACTACTTAAAATAAACACTATATTATGAAGAATAGATACTTTTAAAACTCAACCGAATTGTATCCGATATGTAATGTTATGCTCCGATACGGCGCCGATATGTATTGAAGGAGGATCTAAATTTATTTATTTTAAAAAATAAATAGAAAAATTCTGATACGGCGGCAATATGCTTCTGATATGTCCTATATTTGTGTCTTTTCAATTTTTAACATATTCTTTTTAAATAAATTTTCACTCCTTTTAAATTTTTAAGGGCCCTTCTTCAATATCACTATTTTAAACATAAGACACTCCATACATTCCTCTCTGAAAGGTCTATATTAAATATTTATTATTTATTGATCTGGAGATGCAAATCTGTTTAGGGTTTACAGAGATGTATTACGTAACTAATTTAAACAGTGCAAGTTAATTTAGTTTTGTGATTACTCAGATGAAAATGACGATATATAAATGTTAAGACTCATGTTATGTGATTAACATTAAACCTTACAATTAATACGCAAAAGATGACATATATTAATCCAAATGGTCAAAATAAGTGATCAACCGATACACAATGAAGTCAAATTACTCAATAAAGTCAAAATAAGTCAAAATAAAATACAATCAATAATAAATTCAAACTACAAATACTATCAACTACCGCGTATGCCAAATTAGAGCTCCTCAGACTCCCGGCCTTTTCTACTCTCGTCCTTCGACACCGTCTCTATTACATCAGTGCCTCTTGTGCCTCCGTCATAATGACATTTAGGACATCCCAAACCTCAGAACCATCAGAAAAGATACATGCGTCAATGCCTTCCTGCGCAATCTCTATAATACAGTGACATATAAGCAACACATCCTGAGCATGATCTAACTTTGTCTGCTCCTCCTCTAGTATCTCCTGATGAGTTGGTCTTAGTGGATATCTTGGAGTAGCTTGCACCATATATAGATGTGACACCTTGAAGAACCACCTAATGTACCCTTCTACATAGCTTCAGTCGCTCTCAGCTATGGTAATTCGTGTCTCCTCCAGTACTAGATGACTAAGATAATCATCAAACATGACATTCATATCTCTATCTGTCATATCAAGAGGAGTAGATACAACATGGTATTTGAGAATAGTATGGGTGTAGTCGACCTACGCATCACGCACTCAGGCAAATGAGGAAATGTCAAACGTGAACCGCAAGCTAACCATCCCAAGTATAACACTATGTCATCAAATGGTCGCGTCTCACGATGATCGACATAGCTGTTAAAGTGCATATCCTCTCTACCAAGTAGTCAAGATATACTCGAAACAACTTTGTCACTTGGTTCTCTCTGAGTGGGGAAAATGCAGAAGCATGCGACATATCCTCAATATAGGTTGGTACACACAACCAACCGGAGATACATGTGAAGTTCTGGAGGATCCAAGCCTGAAAAGTGCTGGAACATATGAATCATTAGTAAGGGGGTTGCAATACACACAAACACTACAAGACCAATAAATAACCGTCAAAAGTGTGATGTTGCCTGTCACCTACTTCGTCTTCCACCTACAACTCTTAGATAACTCAAAGTACAACTAAACCAAACAAGCGGCCCCTAGTTGTACCTATGGATCCGCTCAAAGTCCTCGAAGTATCGTAGGAAGATGACTTCCATATAAGTAATACTATTGTCCACAAAAATGGCAGTGCCAATCAAATATAACAGGTATGCTCTCAAAGCATATGCTTGTCGCGGTGAAATTTGGATACCAAGCTATTGATTAACTTGAATCTTAAATCATTTGCAACCGGTCTTTAATTTTTCCAAAGAAAGGGAAAAAGATCGAATTACCCACAATGCAATGCACATGCAAAGGTTAGAGAGTTTTAGGTTCGGGGGTTGGTTAAACTTAGGGAAGGTGCTAGCATCCTAAGTTTCTGTAGTACTCTACAGGAACCTCTTATTTTATGTTGTTTATTGCTAAGGGTTATCTGCTTAAAGGTAGAAGACCTAGGGGTTTATTTCTAAGTATACTCGATAAGATATCGCATCTTATGCCTACATATCCTGACGGGAGTGGAATCAGAGTGTTTGTAGTTCCCCTAAAGGGTTTGAGGAACTCCTTGACTGTGGCCAAAGTTCCTAAGGGAGAATGGTAGTTGATTGAATGGTTTAGGAGAAAAGTTGAGTTGTCATTTTAAGGGAGATTACTTGATTTAACCACCACGACTTTGTAGGAAAATAGTCTTTGCATCGTCTTAAGAGAAGGGCTCAAGTACTCGGATTGTCAACAAGTACGCCTCTATCACTCCTAAGGCAAAGTCCCTACATATTGATTGAATTGTTATGGGGTAGAAGTTTTATCTCGCTTAAGATGATTAACATCTTATTCTCTAATATGTTTGAATAGTTTGAATTGAGTTGTTGAATGTGTTTGTCTAAGTTGTAAAGATAAAAGGTCCTCCTTATGGGATATGATCTAAACTTAGAAGATCGACTTGAATGGGATCAAGGATCAATGGGGAGTATGATGCAAATGAGATGCATACGCACAATTATTTAGGTTATGCGCAGATTCTTCCTTTGGACGTTTATGCGATGCGAGAATGTAAATGACGAGAAAATAAACTGCGGTAAATAAATGCGGGAGATAAAAGACATACACACACATGAAAGCGCTAAGTGCGTGAAAGTGAGTGCAAGCGCGCGATGTTAATTTTAGGCGCAGTTGATTTATTTTAAGAAAAAGTTATATTATTTGATTTAAGAAAATGTTGAATCAAATTGGTTTTAATTATTTAAATAAGAAAGGTTGTGCTTATGAATTGATTTTAAGAAAATTTAATTTAATTTATTAGCAAAAAGATTTGATTAGTTAATTTGAAATAAAATGGTTTTATTTTATCTTGTAGGAAAAGGGTGATTTATTTTATTAAAATAAGAGAGATTGGTTTAATTATAAAAGGTTGATTTAGTTATTATAAAAAGGTGGAATTAATAATTTACTAAGAAGAGTTATTTAATTATTTAACGAAAGAGAGTGAACTATCAGATCCGTTGGAGATCTACGCATGATTAGAATGAGGCGCATGGCATGTGTGGGTGAGGTGTGAGATATACATTACATTATAATGCTACAGCAAGAACCAAAACCAAAGTAAAAGAAGAAAAAAAACAACAGCACGAGATAAGACTCTCATTCTCCCTTTCCCTTCTCCTTCTTCTACTACTTCTTCTCTTTTGTCGTCTTATGGTTTGTTCTGCAAAAATACAAAGCAATTAAATATATAAATGATTTGGAAAAAATCGTTACCCAAAGATGAGAGCTGGTGGCAGCTTTAAAAAACGGCGACGGTAGGCTTCAATTTTCTCCTTATGGTGGCAGCTTTTCTAGGGGGAATATGGCAAAATTTCCTCTTGGTGAAAACTTTCGTGTGTGGTTGTTGTTGTTGGTCCCCGAAGTTGGGAAATTCTTCATCCTTTTATAGGGGAATGGATGGGCCTCCAATGAATATGGCTCTTAAAAACCTTCCTTTTTGAGTGATTCTTGTCGAGAGCATGCTTGTTGAAATTGAGAAATCACTTCAATTCTTTCCAATTTCGTCTGATCTTGTCAAGGACATGCTGGCTTCAATTTTGGATGTTTTGAATTTCTCTTCTTTCGTCTGGATCTGCACTGTGGGCGCTTCATCTAGAGAGATGTTGCCTCTGGACTGCCTCTGAAAGAGTTTGCCTCTGGATTTGCATTTGAGGGAGTTTTCCTCTGGATCTGCATCTGAGGGAAATTCTTCTGAATCTGCATATGAAGAACTGCGCTGAAGAACTGCGCTGCAGAACTGCTTCTGGAAAGTTGCCTCTGAAGCTGTTGGCTCTGAAGTTTCTTCTGAGGCTGTTGGCTCTGAAGTTGCTTCTGAAGCGGTTGGCTCTAGAGCTCTGCTAATGAACTTCTTCTGAAGACTTTCCTCTGAAACCTTGCCTCTGAAGAGTTGCTGATGAGTTGGTTCTGGAGCTCTGCTGATGAACTTCTTCTGAAGGCTTGCCTTTGAAGAGTTGCTGTTGAGTTGGTTCTGGAGCTCGCTTCTGACGCTGTTTCTGAGGAGTTGCATCTGAAGGGTGCCTCTGACGTTGTTTCTGAGGAGTTGCATCTGAAGGATGCCTCTGACGCTGTTGCCTCTTTGGCTTTGAATTAAGTTTCCACGCGAATAAATCCTTGCCATCTTGGATTTAAATTTGCAACTTTGAAGAGCTTTATTTGACTTTAAAATATCTGCACAGGTGGATTAGACAAACATGCATACACAAGCATAAAGAATAAGGAAAGCAGGAGAAAACAGAGGTGGGATCTTAAGGTCAAAAATTAGGGTGTGACAGATGCCCCTA